TAATCTGCTATGATGAGATACACACTGTTCCAATATCTTGCATTTTTTCAAATGCTAATAGGCTATTCCTGTGGTTCTAAACAAACCTATTGTTTCCCACCAATCCTGTATTAGTTACGCTCCAGTCATAGGCAAAACAAGCTACTTTATTCCAGCAGGTTGTCAGGCAAACTTCAAGGATGTGTTATGTGTAGCTAGATTTCTTGATTTATGCAAGCCAGAAGTTTCATTTTCATTTGAAAAAAGTTCCATGTTCATTTGGAAAATGGTGAATTTCAATTGGTGAGTTGTAGCTCCTAAAACTCATATCCTGCTTTATGGACACCAGAGTGTTATTTTCATTGAAGCAATTTTATTCCTTACAGATTTGTGTTTGGATACAGTCTGTCAATTGTCATTTAATATTCCAGATTAATATTTACCCTGACAATGAGGTCCCCTCCATTTGCTTAGCATGGCATTTCATACATTTGCAGAGAAAAGTAAGAAGAATATTTTTTAATGGAACTAATTCTCACTGTTTTGCTTTGAGCATTTAATTTCTATGTTAGTTTTAGAAACTCTTCTCTACATATTACCAGGGAAGCCTTGTGAGGACTATTAACAGGATGGCGAAGATTACCGAAAGTGATTCATTTTTTTTAAAAATGTGGACACTTGAGAAGTAGAAAGTTAAATTAGACCTTCATATATTTTTGCAAGTCTAAAGCAGCTATTGAAGTGATCGCTGTCAGGGGTTTGGATAATCTGGGAACAAATCACATTGCAATTTCTGACCCCTCCTTTCAGGAAATCAGAATATTAGAATAGATATTTCATTAGACTTCAAGCAGAATAGAGTTACCTTCCCTGTAAAGTATTTCCAGAGAAATATACTTTCTGATACTTATTGTTAAAAATTAACAGAGAAGGTATCTCTGATATACTTTTTAAACAATTCTTCCTCCACAGTATTATCTATTAGCATTTACAATGTGATGCAATAACAGCAGGACTTGGCTCCTTCCTGATAGTCATTTAGTTTCTGTGTAATATTAACACATGATCAGTTAACATGCTCTGCTGAATCATTGTTTTGAAGCAGAATAGTAAAACGGGCCAAGTAATTTCCACTAAAACTCTGCAAGGTTACTGCACTGGTGATTATTGACATTTGTGCCAACTTTGGAACATGCTAGAGAACATTTGTTAATTTTATTGGGAAGAAAGCTAAACTATTTAACAGTTCTCTTTGGCTGTTTGCTGGACTGGGCACAGTAGTTGACTATGGAGACACTGGAGAAACTAACAGACTCCTTTTGTTCAAGAGCACAAACTTTCTGTGTGAAGAGGTTTCACAGGTTTGGCAGCAGTCATCAGTTTGATTTTACAGCTCTCTGTTAATTATAAACACATATGGATGAAAACTTTGTACAATTATCAAAAACAAAATAGCTGTACAAACAGGTTCTTTACTGTGATAACTATGCTAACAAAGTCATTGCCACCCACCTCCAAGTACTCTGCACTTAACTTACCGTTTGCTTTTGACTTTTGGGAGGAATGGAGTTCACTAAATTGCTATTATGAGATTTTGTATGCTTATACCCGGCTGAAATATATGCAGGCTTTTGCCCTGGAATGGCTTCACAGGTTTACAGTACAGTTACACAGTGCAAGGTCAGAGATGCAATGAGAAATACTTGCAGGGGACAGCTTGGCTTATATTACCTCTGTGGCTTTTCAGCTGCAGTATTTCTGAAAAGGGCAAAATACTCTGTTGTTGACGACTTACCTCTTTGATTAAGGATCCCATGTAAAGAGCAGTCAGTGGAGTTTGTTCTGCTGGTTTGACCACCACTGTGTTTCCACAACAAAGGGCAGGGGCAATCTTCCAGATGAACATAACCAATGGGAAGTTCCACTGAAAGATGAGAAAATGCATTCTATTTCTAACACATCACTGAAATGCCTTTGCTTTTTCTATAATAGTGCAAATTGTCAATTAGGAGGTTGAGCTCTTTGTTGAACTCTTTCCAAAACAAATATGTTTTGAAAAAGCCACTGGCAAGCCATGTAATACAAAGACCAGTGATCTTTATATACGAGAGCCCAGGGGGTCCAAGGTTTTAGTTAAAAGCTCCACAGACACTAAGTGTACTCCTCTAACAAAGTCTTATAGACAGTCATTTGATTAGTGGCACACTTTGGAGTTTTGCTGTCTTAAATGTTCACATCCTCACCAATTGAGTTTTCTAAGTGAGACAAGGTAATAACACATAATGCAGCCCCTGCACTCTTCCCTGGAGGTCTCACTGGCAGCAGCCTTTTTTGGTCAGTCCAGGCAGACTGCTGAGCAGCTGATGGCTTTAGATCCCACATTCAGCAGTTTGAGGGACAATGTAATCAGGGCAAAACTCTGTTGCCCTCTGAGAATATTTCTAATAGTCTGGGAAGCATTGAGTCCATGAGTCTCAGCTCAAAAGACAAAGTATGCCTTACCTGTATGAAACTGAGGAAAAATGCTGTTAACAGTTACCTATTATGTCAGAAAGGCTTGGGGGAATATACTTGAAACTGTTCTTTATATCTCATTTAAGCCTCACTCCACTCCCAAAAATAGTGAGAGCATAAATAACATAAAGTGAGGGATTGCAGGATCTTCTGGACACTCATCATTAAAGTGGAACTGTGTGAGTGGAAAGAAAATGAAAATGATGGGCTAACAAAAGTAAATTGTAACATTCACATAGTCCTTGATGTTTTGGTTTATGTAGAAACCTCCAGCTTGGTGGTTTGTATTTCAATGGAGAGAAAATGAAGATGTACTCAGAAATCCTGGAACATTTTATAAGGGAAGCCAATTTTGTTATTGTTGTTACTGCTGCTTATATTTCCAGGAAGCAATTTTATTTAAAGTTTTCACATCTAGTGTTTCTAGTTCATAAGCATACCTTGACGAAGTGTACCTGGCCTACAAGAAAATCTAAACAAGCAGTTTCCCCAGGTCTCCTAGAGACTGGATCCAAACATATTATTGTGATATTCTACAGATGAATGTGGTGGTCTAAAGAGATAGCAAATCTTCAAATTCAACTGGACAAGTGCATGATCCTGCACCTGAGGAGGAATAAACCCAAGCACCAGTACAGTTTGGGCACTGACCTTCTGGAGAGTAGCTCTGCGGAAAAGGACCTGGGGGCCCTGGTGAACAACAAGCTGTCCATGAGTCAACAGTGTGTCCTTGTGGCTAAGAAGGCCAATGGAATCCTGGGATGCATTAAGAAGAGTATTGCCAGGGAAGATGATCCTGCCTTTCTGGTCAGCCCTCATGGGGCCACACCAGAAACATTGTGTCCAGTTCTGAGCAGCTCAGTACAAGAAGGATATTGGGCTCCTGGTGCAGGTCCAGCAGAAAGCTATGAAGATGATTAAGGGACTGGAGCATCTCACTTATGAGGAAAGGCTGAGGAAGCTGGGCCTGTTCAGTCTTGAGAAGAGAAGACTGAGAGGGGACCTCATTAATGTACTTAAGTACATGAACAGAAAATACCAAGATGATGGAAGCAGGCTCTTCTCAGTTGTGGAAACCAGTAAAACAAGAGGCAACAGGAAAAAAATATATGCACAAGAAGTGCCATCTGAATATGAGGAAGAACTTCTTTCCTGCGCAAGTCCCTGAACACTGAAGCAGATTGCCCAGAGATGTGATGGATTCTCCCCCACTGGAGGTATTAAAAAACCATTCGAATGCAATCCTGAGCCATATGCTCTAGACTGACCCTGCTTGAGTAGGCAGGTTGGACCAACTGACCCATTGTGGTCCCTACCAAGATAACTGATTCTGTAATTCTGTGATTCTGTGAACAGAAAGACATCAGGATCATGTGTGGGACTCATATATCTGAGCAAATCTGACAGATAAGGTGACTTTCAGAATCTGTTAAGCTGTTGAGCAGGTCAGGTGAGGCTGCTCACAACTATCATGAGCAAAGAGGTGGGTGGATTAGAGCTGCCTAATGCATACAGTATTTTCACAGGCACCCCTTGAAGCTGTGTAGATCTCACAAATAAGTGTCAAAGTTGAGTTCCTCAAGTGTTTTGGATGACCAGACTCAGGTAGGCCTTTTGAATCTTCACTTGAAATTAAGCGACTTCAAAATTGGGGGGTTAGGCATGCCACATGGGATCATGGTATCATTGTGCTTATTGGACGCATTCTTTGTGTTGCTACTTGTAATACCATCATGTTGAATGAGTCTTAGCCATGAGTAAAGATCCAGCTGTCTGGATGCTGTACAGAGCAGAACAGATATTCCAGGGCCTAAAGAACTTATTGCTCATATGGTGTAAGTATTACATATTTACATATATTGTCCTACATGTTTGTTTCTAGTTCTTTCAGTTCCAACAAAACACAATTCCATATTTCAAACTCTTCCATCAGTCAATTTTTTGAGGTTTATTTTCCCTTCATATATGGCGAGGAGAGAGAAAAGTGTGGACTGGACTGACTCATCAAAAACTATGTTGAAGAATTTGAGTACTCAGGAGAGTTTCTTTCAGGACCTGAAAATTTCTGGTTAGCAATGTTTCACAAATGCACTTGCATAGACATAATTTCAAAAGCATCTCCATTATGTTACAAGGAACACTTATGTTTTCTGTTAACAGCTTCAACTTACAGGAATAATTTGGCCACACACCCCAATAGGCTCATGTCTTGTAAATGTAAAAAAGTTTCCATCTATGGGAAAAAGAAATAGACATTCAGACAAAGCATTTGTGAGAAACAGTTAAATCAGAAAGATGATAAAGTTGGATACCAAACTTAGCTGGATATAATTTTACATATAAACAATATTTTCAAAATCTTAACTATGCAAAAAGCCATAAAGTACATCTGGATTCAATATCTACTTTCTTCATAGCTCCAAGGTTTGATTTTGGCAGTCTGACTGACTTTTTGCAATGATAACCCTGCTTCTCAATATGGTATGCACAGCAGACCTATGATAATTTCTCATTTCTTGTTTCTTTTATCACTTTTAAATTTTTTTATTTTTATTATTTTATTTCCCAGAAAATGCTATTTTAAATCCTAGGTACATATCAGACATTTTTTAATATTAGATCTTAGCTTAAATCAAATCCATTAAGTAAAAAATTCTCTTTGATTCAAATAAACATGTGTTCCATTAAGCCTAGTAAAGAGATCTACGTGATGCAAAAAACCTTTCAAGTATTTATCACTCTAGTTTTCCTTAATTCCTTCTTTATTAATATTATTTTCCTTGTCCTTCTGAGAGAAGTTAGCCAGAGACAATATTTTCATAGAGCTGGTTAATGGGAATGGAATGAAATTTTGACAAAATACTGTTTCTTCATTCCTACTGCTTTGTACTTACTCTTCTTAATACATTATCCAATAACTGAAGCAAATTTTACTGCCTTGTGCTAATCTTAGCTTTAATAAGCAAATACCTGGTTATCACTACAGTAGTCTTGTTTAAATAATACATTGCTATGCAAAAGTAGCATACGAGACTTCTTAGATGTACATAGAGATTAATTATTTTGGTCAGTAAACAGTATTTGTTGGTAGTGTATAGAACAAGAAATAAATGTGAAAAAATGCACAATATGTTTAAACTGAGCAGTAAGATAGATCTCTAATTACCTGCACTCATAACTATCTAAAATATTTTAAGTTTGGGTTATTTTCTATGTTGCACAACATTTAGATAAAAGTCAGTTTTTTACAGCTCTCTTTGGCTTCAGTTCCGTACTTTTGTTATCACAAAGCCACTCACCCATTGGAACAGTACGCCCATGGATTTTATCAGCCCAGCCTGCACAGTAGCGTAATGTTTTGACACAAGCACCCAAGTCCATTTGGTAGGCAGTGGAAAAGAGTTTTCCACCATCAGTGGCTTCCATTGTCTGCAGACAGAGCAACTAGAAGTTAATATCAAATACTGATCATGGTTCTTATTCTTGTACTTTGTCATTTAGCTTTTTTCTGTTCAGCTTGAGGATTTTAGCTTTAGCACAAACATTTAGATTAATTCCCCTGTGAAGGATACTTCGCATTTGAAAAACTTAAGTTAGCAATTTGCCAGTGAGAAATTTTGTGTTGAGCTGTGCAGATAACATGATCACAGAACATTTGTAATTGTAAGATATACTGAAAAGACAGCAATATTTCTCTCATCTGTGTCTTTTACACTGTTCTAGTTCATGTTAAATATTCTCCAAGCACTGATCAAGAGATCAGGTAGAATTCTGTGCAAATAACTGATGCAAATAAATTGAGTGGTCCCCCTCACA